ATTTTATGTGTTTATTGGTGTCATCTAATTGGGTCAATATGATTTTTTAAAATTACAAACAGTTATACCGGAGAATTCTTATTTAATTTATTGGATCACATAAACTGTTTTATAGGGATCTCAAATAGAATTAGAACTAAGTAGCCAACTGAGAGTTCAATTAAATCCTAAAAGAATTTTCAGAACATTATTAATCTGGAAGATCCAGAACATTATGCCAAACAGAAATTAACTCGGAAGGTCAAATCAATAAATTTTTAAAGGCAAAATCCGAACAAGTTAAAATATTCATTCAATATTCCCATTACTGATTTTCAATAATATATAATTTGCTAGTATGCAATAGATTTCAATTAATATTTTTTTTTTATCTTATCGATACTAATTTACTCATAAATGGAAAACGAATATATTCATTTAGAGTGGTGAGGAAGGGCTGGAAGGCAGCATCTATGTACTACAAAAGTAAATATTCATCCAATATGTTAGGATCTCACATTGGAAGAAAATAAGGTGGGCATGTGGGTTTTAAAGGCTTGGGCACCCTCCCTTGGCAAGCCGATTTTCCAAGGAGAGTTCTATCTAAGCTCATGAAAGACCTATGGCCCAACCCAATTGTTGTGTGATTGGAGTGGGTTCCTATCAATTGGTATCAAAGCCAAGTTTCTATGCCTATGTGGCAGGTTGACCCATTACAGGCTGACCCTGGGCCCGGGTTGCTACCCCGAGAAAGGGCATGGAGCCCCAAAGGAAAGAAGATATGTGTAGTCACCCAAAGGGTAAAGAGGCCGACGTGGATGTTGGTTACGGAAGCGTGGTGGAATATTAGGATCTCACATTGGAAGGGAAAAGGGTGGGCATGTGGGTTATAAAGGCTTGAGTACCCTCCCTTGGCAAGCCGGTTTTCCAAGGAGAGTTTTATCTAAGCCTATAAAAGGCTTATGAAAGACCCATGACTCAGCTCAATTGTTGAGTGATTGGAGTGAGTTCCTATCAATTGAGAGGCCAATAGGGATAAAGAGGCCGACGTGGACAGTTGCGGAAGCCTGGTGGAATGTTAGGATCCCACATTGGAAGGGAAAAGGGTGGGTATGTGGGTTACAAAGGCTTGGGCACTCTCCTTTGGCAAGCCGGTTTTCCAAGGAGAGTTTTATCTAAGCCCATGAAAGACTCATGGCCCAACCCAATTGTTGAGTGATTAGAGTGGGTTCCTATCAATTGGTATCAAAGCCAAGTTCCTACGCCCATGTGGCAACTCATGCGTGGCAGGTTGACCTTGGGCCTGGGCTGCTACCCGAGAAAGGGCATAAAGCCCCAAGGGAAAGGGGATCTGCATAGTCACCTAAGGTGTAAAGAGGCCGATGGGGATAAAGAGGCTGACGTGGACGTCAGTTACAAAAGCGTGGTGGAATGTTAGGATCCCACATTGGAAGGGAAAAGGGTAGGCATGTGGGTTATAAAGGCTTCGGCACCCTCCTTTAGCAAGCTGCTTTTACAAGGAGAGTTATATCTAAGCCCATGAATGACTCATGGCTCAACCCAATTGTTGAGTGATTGGAGTGGGTTCCTATCACACTATCTAACAATAAAGATTTTCTTGCTTAATAATAAGCGAATAATAACATCAAATATCTTACAATAAAGGCAGCATCATAGTTTAATTTTAATCTTGTAAATTTTAATCCAAGAGCACTAAATATGCAGATTCTTGCAATAATAAGCGAATATTAACATTTTAATTTATTTTTATGGTGGTGACGTTCCCTAAATTTCATTAAAGAATTCAGTTTTTGATGTGGCATGATCTGACTGGCACTAGTGCATTTGCGAATTAAACTAGGAAATTAATATCAATCAATTAACGATAAACAGTCAGAAATTTTCTATATAAGCTGAAGGCCAAAGGGGTTTAGCATGCATAATTAAAGCTTCGATCTTCCTATCCATAGAAAACAAAACAAGTCAAACAAAATGGCTCTCTTTGGATAACAGAAGGCTGATGTAGAGATCAACCCTCCCGTTGACAAATTTTGTTGACGCATGATTTTGGACGCTAACGACTCGTATGTGAAAAGTGCTAAGAGAGCCTTAGAAATTATACGTGATGGATCCATGAGATTTGAATATGGTGTTGAGGTTATATATGTTGCAAAAAAACATAAATAAAAGATTGGCAAGAGGGGGTTTTTATAGTGGTTCAGATGCTTAAAGCAAGTCATACATCCACTGTTATTTTATTGATCTCTGACTATTTCTATGATATTGCCCATAAGACATACAAAGATGAAGAAATACAGTGTTTACAGAGAAAAAGAATTGAGCTCAAATCTATGCCTAGCTCTCATATGCCCAACCCCCTTTTTTGGGAAGAGAAGTGCCAATTTATACACTTTTGAGGTCAATGTAATGAGTGTTTTGCAAGTTACCTTGACACATGGAAGGCTCTCGTCCATTCATCTCTTGAAATGAGATAGGGTTGGTATGAATATCTTTGAGGAGGTATGGCCTTGGCAGCTAGTACAAAAAAGACATTTATTGAGCTGACATCAGCGTGACTTTTTAGGCATAACAGAAGCCCCCCAGTTTTAGAGTGCGTAATCGCACTTCAGAAACTCAAGTCTTTGATCTGAATGGCTGTTGCACTACAGGCTGCAGTCTCAAACTGAAGAGCTCGAACTATTCCTAGCACAATCTAGTGTTGACAGCTAGGAGCTAATCGCGATCTGAGAGCTAGAAGCTAATCATAATCTGAGAGCTAGAAGGTGATCACGATTCTATAGGAGCTTGATTTGAGATCATAAGGAGCTCAATCAGAGAGCATAACGAGCTCGAGTTGAGAGCATAACGAGCTTGACCTGAGATCATAACGAGCTCGACCTGAGATCATAACGAGCTCGATCAGAGAGCATAACGAGCTCGATCTAAGATCATAAAGAGCTCGATCTAATATCATAAGGAGCTCAATCAGAGAGCATAACGAGCTCGATCAGAGAGCATAAGAAGCTCGATCAGAGATAATAAGGAGCTTGATCAGAGATCATAAGGAGCTCGATCTGAGAGCATAACGAGCTTGATCTAAGATCATAATGAGCTCGATCAGAGAGCATAATGAGCTCAATCTCAGATCATAAGAAGCTCGATCATAGAGCATAACAAGCTCGATCTGAGATCATAAGGAGCTCGATCAGAGAGCAAGGAGCTCGATCAGAGAACAAAGGAAGTTCGATCAGAGAGTGCGAAGCTCGATCTAAGAATAAAGGAAGTTTGATCAGACAGCCCGGATCTGGATCTAGATTTGAGAACAGAAGGAGTTCGATCAGAGAGCGCGAAGCTCAATCTGAGAATAGAGGAAGTTCGATCAGACAACCCAAATTTGGATCTCAGAACAGAAGGAGTTCGATCAGATAGTATGGAGCTGGATCTGAGAACAGAACGAGTTCGATTAGACAGCGCGGAGCTGGATCTGAGAACAGAACAAGTTCGATCAGACAGCGCGGAGCTGGATCTGAGAACAAAATGAGTTCGATCAGACAGCGCGGAGCTCTATCTGAGAACAGAAAGAGTTTGATCAGACAACGTGGAGCTGGATCTGAGAACAGAAGGAGTTCGATCAGACAGCACGGAGCTGGATCTAAGAACAGAAGCAGTTCGATCAGATAGCGCGGAGCTAGATCTGAGAACATAAATAGTTCAATCAGACAGCGCGGAGCTCGATCTGAGAACAGAAGAAGTTCGATCAGACAGCCTGGATCTAGATCTGAGAATAGAAGGAGTTCGATCAGAGAGCGCAGAGCTCAATCTGAGTATACAGGAAGTTTGATCAGACAACCCAGATCTGGATCTGAGAATAGAAGGAGTTCGATCAGACAGCACATAGCTGAATCTGAGAACAGAAGCAGTTCGATCAGACAGCACAAAGCTAGATCTAAGAACAGAAGCAGTGCGATCAGACAGCGTGGAGCTCGATATGAGAACAGAAGCAGTTTGATCAGACAGTGTAGAGCTCGATTTGAGAACATAATGAGCTCCATCTGAGAGCATAACGAGCTTAATCCGAGATCATAACGAGCACAACGAGCTCGATCAGAGAGCATAACGAGCTCGATTTGAGATCATAAGGAGCTCGATCAAAGAACAGAGTAAGTTCGATCAGATAGCCCGGAGCTCGATCTGAGAACAGAGGAAGTTCGATCAGACAGCCTGGATCTGGATTTGAGAATAGAAGGAGTTCGATTAAAGAGTGCAAAGCTCAATCTGAGAACAGAGGAAGTTCGATCAGACAGCCCAGATCTGGATCTGAGAACAGAAGGAGTTCGATCAAACAGCGCAGAGCTGGATTTGAGAACAGAAGGAGTTCAATCAGACAACGCAGAGTTAGGTTTGAGAACAGAAGGAGTTCGATTAGACTGCGTGGAGCTCGATCTGAGAACAGAAGCAGTTCAGTCAAACATCACGAAGTGGATTTGAGAATAGAAGGAGTTTGATCAGACAGCGCGGAGCTGGATCTGAGAACAAAAGCAGTTTGATCAAATAGCACGGAGCTCAATCTGAGAACAGAAGCGGTTCGATCAGACAACGTGGAGCTGGATCTAAGAACGAAAGTAGTTCGACCAGACAACGTGAAGCTCGATCTGAGAATAGAAGTAGTTCGATTAGACAGCGCGGAGTTGGATCTGAGAACAGAAGCAGTTCGATCAAACAGTGCGAAGCTTGATCTGAGAACAAAGTAGTTCAATCAGACAGCGCGGAGCTTGATCTGAGAACATAACAAGCTCAATCTGAGAGCATAATGAGCTCGATCAGAGAGCATGACGAGCTCGATCTGATAACAGAAGTAGTTCGATCAAACAGCATCGAGCTCGATCAGAGAGCATAACAAACTCGATCAAAGAGCATAACGAGCTCAATCTACGATCATAACGAGCTCAATCTGAGAGCATAACGAGCTCGACTTGAGATCAAGAGATCAACGATCTCAACGTGTGATTAGCGATCTGAACATGCGATTTGAAGCTAAAGATCAACGATCTGAAGCCGAAGATCAAGAAGACCTGAGAGTACGATTAGCAATCTGGCCACGTGATCTAGCCGATCTGAACGCGTGATCTCAACAATCTTGAACGCGCGATTTGAAGCTAAAGATCAGCGATCTAAAGCTGAAGATCAATGATCTAATCGTGCGATCAGCAATCTGAGCGTGCGATCAATGATCTGGCCACGCGATTTGAGCGACCTGAACGCATGATCTCAATGATCTTGAACGCGTAATTTGAAGCTAAAGATCAGCGATCTAAAGCTGAAGATCAACGATCTGAGCATGCGATCAGCGATCTGCCCATGCGATCGGAGAACTTTGACGCAGGTTTGAGACTTACATGGGCCACCAAACTGTTAACGCTTGATTTTGGATGCCAACGACTTGCACGTGCAAAGTGCTAAGAGAGCCTTAGAAATTACATGTGATGGATTGGTAGCGTGCCGAATGCACCAAATTAATTAACCTTACTAACCTAACTACTAAATTGTATATGGGGTGAGCAAGGGTCGATCCCACAGGGAATGATTCGATTAAATCCTATATTCTATGCCAATAGCACAATGAAAACAACACAATAAAACCCTAAACAGTGAACAGGACAACAGAACAGAGCAATGAAAGGGGTTTGTAATAAAGGCAAACTAAAGTAAACCAAAGAAGTCTCTAATGGAAGAAAAAAATCAGATTAAAAACAATCAATTCTCGGTTCAAGATCCACCTAAACATGCATTGGACACGAACTAATCGTAACACTATCTATCTGGTTATTATGGAACTACTGACCTTAAGAAACAACAAGATCTGTTACCCGAATTCTCCCTTAATCATCACTACTGAAATAAGCTTTTCAATTAGATCCTAACCCTCGAACAACCTAGAATAAGCTCTCTAAGTTTAATTCAATGGCAGCCTTAAGAATTAGGAAAATAGATCAATCTAAGCAACAATCACACAAGCTCGGATTATTTAACTTAGGTTATGTTATTCAAGATGACAGAATGAAAACTTGTCCATAATCATCTATTATCATGTGTTACCCACTGAATAGAAAAAGGACAATTACAGATCACAATTCCTAATTCTAATAGATAAAATTGCGATAAAATAATTCAGTAGGCCATTACTAAATCACCCAAACAGAAAATTATAAACAATTAAAACAGAATAACATAAACAATTCCAATAAAAATGAGATTAAGAATAATGTTACTGAAGTGAGGTTACACCAATGACATGAATTTAGGCTTCAAAATCCCCTTGAACTGAAGAAGGAAGATCAGCCTCACATCTTGACGTAGAAAGTAAAAGAAAACCAAAAAAACTCAAAACCACTGCTGTTCTCTTCTCCCCCCTTTTTAACCAAACAACCCATCAATAAATAACATGTGTTTTCCTTAGTTCTACCCCAAGAATCTCAGAATTTCTTTCCAAGACGTTTCCTAGAAGATAGACTTCCAGATTTGTCAAAATCTTATGAGATATGGAAAACAAAATTTGTCTCTAACTTGCACCAGGATTCTCGAAATGCAAAAGATCTTTTATGGGCTCGGTCACTTCATAAAAATTGTAGTCCAGGATGTGTAGATGAATATGGGCTTTTGAATCACTCGCTTTCGATATCTGACGCTCCAGTTAGGCCCGTTCGAAGATTCAATACTCAGCCAGGAAATCCTTCCGGGACTAGGATTCCAGGTCCGGTTTTGCAACAATCAATGAAGACCCAAAAAACTCGGATTCTCGTCCATAATACCTTCCGGGAAATTTTGATTCGTCAACTTTACTTTTTCTGAAGAACACTTTTGCAATCGAGAAATCTGACTCCATGAAAAACCTGAAAAACGCAGCACTGGTCAGAATAACAAAAATCTGGAATTTCCTAATCTTTTATCACTTATTTCCTAAAGTCTATCCAACTATGCCAAACTCACAAAATAAACTCTAATCAACTCAAATAGGCATAAAACATAACAAAAAACATAATATGGAAGGAATAAAAATATATAAATTACACTCTTATCAAATTTCCCTGACATTAGCTTTTGCACGTCATAAGGTAAACTAATTCAAACATTAAAACAACTACACTCAAGTCATATCAAGAACACCATCATGATGCATAAGCAACAATATTTAATGCATGCATTCATACCTAACTTAGGAAGCAGCAAAAATAATATAAGTAGAGTTAAGGACATTCATCTCTCTTCATCATTTTCCACAATTAGTCTCAACAGTTAATGCAAACAAGGAAATTTTTTTCTTCTCTTTTTTCGTTTTTTTTCTTTTTTTTTTTTTTTTCTCTGTTTTGAAAAAAATGAGTGCATTTATGCTCCATCTCATTTCATGGTTGTGTTTATAGTGAGTGCGTTTTACGCTCCTCTCAACTCACTACACCCTTTTTTTTTTTTTTTTCTCCTTTAAGGGTTGTATACACTCCTCAATCATGCTTCGGCACCAAGTTCACACAACTTCTCAAGACATATGTTTCAAAACTACAAATATTCAAATATGATTAACTCTTTATGAATATTGCTAACATCCTAAGTCAAGGAATATGTTCAATAACAAAGTCAAGTTACTTTCATGCATCACTAGACGTTCAAAGACATGACTTAAAGCATAAACCTTCCTAAAAACAAAAACACTTTTTTTTTTTTTTTTTTTTTTTTTTTTTGCCAACGTTACACCTACACCCTAACTTCTCCCCCACACTTAAAACTTACATTGTCCCCAATGTAAAACCCAAATGTAGAGACAGGCAAATAAAACAAATAAAACAAAAAAAATATGGCAAATAAAAAAACTAAATTCAAAGGAAAAGAAAATCAAATCTGAATTCTTGGGTTGCCTCCCAAGCAACGCCTTTGGTTAAAGTCGTTAGCCCGACTCTCTGAATGGTCATCACTACTCATGTATCATAAAAAAAAATGAAAAAAAAAAAAACACAACTAAACACTGATTAAATGAAATAACAAAAGACCATAGAACATAAAAAATAATCGACAAAGAACATTCCCCGGTAACGGCGCCAAAATTTGGTAGCGTGCCGAATGCACCAAATTAATTAACCTTACTAACTTAACTACTAATTGTATATAGGGTGAGCAAGGGTCGATCCCACAGGGAATGATTCGATTAAATCCTATATTCTATGCCAATAGCCACAATGAAAACAACACAATAAAACCCTAAACAGTGAACATGACAACACAATTTAGTAATGAAAGGGGTTTGTAATCAAGGCAAACTAAAGTAAAACAAAGAAGTCTCTAATGGAAGAAAAAAATCAGATTAAAAACAATCAGTTCTCGGTTCAAGATCCACCTAAACATCCATTGGTCACGAACTAACTGTAACACTATTCTATCTCGTTATTATGGAACTACTGACCCTATGAAACAACAAGCTCTGTTACCCGAATTCTCCCTTAATCGTCACTACTGAAATAAGCTCTTCAAGTAGATCCTAACCCTCGAATAACCTAGAATAAGCTCTCTAAGTTTAATTCAATGGCAGCCTTATGAATTAGGAAAATAGATCAATCTAAGCAACAATCACACAAGCTCGGATTATTTAACTTAGGTTATGTTATTCAAGATGACAGAATGAAAACTTGTTCATAATCATCTATCATCATGTGTTACCCATTGAATAGAAAAAGGACAATTACGGATCACAATTCCTAATTCTAACAGATAAAATTCCGATAAAATAATTCAGCAGGCCATTACTAAATCACCCAAACAGAAAATTATAAACAATTAAAACAGAATAACATAAACAATTCCAATAAAAACAAGATTAAGAATAATGTTACTGAAGTTAGGTTACACCAATGACATGAATTTAGGCTTCAAAATCCCCTTGAACTGAAGAAGGAAGATCAGCCTCACATTTTGACGTAGAAAGTAAAAGAAAACCAAAAAAACTCAAAACCACTGTTGTTCTCTTGTCCCCCCTTTTTAATCTAACAACCCATCAATAAATAACATCTGTTTTCCTTAATTCTACCCCAAGAATCTCAGAATTTCTTTCCAAGACGTTTCCTAGAAGATAGACTTCCAGATTTGTCAAAATCTTATGAGATATGGAAAACAGAATTTGTCTCTAACTTGCACCAGGATTCTCGAAATGCAAAAGATCTTTTATGGGCTCGGTCACTTCATAAAAATTTTAGTCCAGGATGTGTAGATGAATATGGGCTTTTGAATCACCCGCTTTCGATATCTGACGCTCCAGTTAGGCCCGTTCGAAGATTCAATACTCAGCCAGGAAATCCTTCCGCGACTAGGATTCCAGGTCCGGTTTTGCAACAACTAATGAAGACCTAAACGAACTCGGATTCTCACCCATAATACCTTCCTGGAAAGTTTGATTCGTCAACTTTAATTTTTCTGAAGAACACTTTTGCAATCGAGAAATCTGACTCCATGAAAAACCTGAAAAACGCAGCACTGGTCAGAATAACAAAAATCTGGAATTTCCTAATCTTTTATCACTTATTTCCTAAAGTCTATCCAACTATGCCAAACTCACAAAATAAACTCTAATCAACTCAAATAGGCATAAAACATAACAAAAAACATAATATGGAAGGAATAAAAATATATAAATTACACTCTTATCATGGATCCATGAGATTTGAATATGGTGCTGAGGTTATATATGTTGCAGAAAACATAAATAAAAGATTGGCAAGAGGGGGTTTTTATAGTGGTTTAGATGCTTAAAGCAAGTCTTACATCCACTGTTATTTTATTGATCTCTGACTATTTCTATGATATTGCCCATAAGACATACAAAGATGAAGAAATACAGTGTTTATAGAGAGAAAGAATTGAGCTCAAATCTATGCCTAGCTCTCATATGCCCAACCCCTTTTTTTGGGAAGAGAAGTACCAATTTATACACCTTTGAGGTCAATGTAATGAGTGTTTTGCAAGTTGCCTTGACATATGGAAGACTCTCGTCCACTTATCTCTTGAAATGAGATAGAGTTGGTATGAATATCTTTGAGGAGGTATGAGCTTGATAGCTAGTACAAAAAAGACATTTATTGAGCTGACATCAGCGTGACTTTTTAGGCATAACAAATATCCAGAGTTCTTCTCCTGCACACCTTTCGAATCGACAAAACCTAGCCCCGACAAAATTCAAAGTGTTGATTTAATCGAGGGTCAGTGGGGAAAAGATGGCTCTGTTTACTGCTGGAACTTCCTCCTCGGTAAGTAAAAGTCTATATCTTGCCGTAAATTTTACGGATACAAAGGAGCGCATCCACATTTTTTGAAAAATTTTAATCATATTTATTGACGCTATTAATAGTTTACTACTAGAGAAAACTTATACAAGACAGCCTCGGTGTGTTTGTTTTAGTATTTTGAATAGTATTTTTGATATTTTTAGAGTTGGGTGGGAATAACGAGGTATGATTTAAAAATTAACAAAACACCCCCTAGATTTGTTAATTTCAAACACCCCTATAATAAAAATATTAAAAAATACAAAAACACCCTCACCCACCCATTAAATACCGATAGCCGGCCACCACTACTGGAGGGTGGCTGGAGTCGCCGTATCGACGCATGACTGACTGGATCTGGCCGGTCGTGCTATGAGATGATCTTTTCCAGCCAGATTTGGCTGTTGACGACTAGATTTGGCCATGTTTGGTGGTCAACGACGGCCAAAGATATGGCCGTCGTTGATGACCAACTATGGCCAAAGATTTAGCCATGAACGGCCAAATCTTTGGCCGTAGATCTGGCCTTTTTCGGTCAGATCCACGGTGGATCTGACTGGAAAATGATAGATCGATGTACTACCGGGAAGATCAAGCTGATAGTATGCCATTATGCCAGATTCTGGCCACCTTCCGACGGTGGTGGCCGGAATCTAGCAAATATGGGTAGGTGGGGGTGTTTTTGTTAATTTTTAAACTTTTTTGGGGGGTGTTTAGTTAAATTAATAAACTTTGGGGGACTAAAAATTGAATAAAAATATAATAGTATTTTCTTAATAATGAAACAAACTATTATTTTGAGGATAGAATTGAAAATAGGATAGAAAATAGTAAACCAAACACACCCCTCAGGGTGTATTTGGTTTAGTATTTCTACCCATATTCCCAGTCTTATTTCCGAAATATTGTTTGGCACATTATTCCAGAAATATTAGTGAATTTTTTAATTACTTTTAGGCCCCTTAAGTTTATTAATTTCACTAAATACCCCCTAGAAAAAAGTTTAAAAATTAGCAAAAATACCCGCACCCCCCATACTTGCCAGATTCTGGCAACCACCATCGGTGGTAGCCGAAATCTGTCACAACGGCTTAAACCAAACCTGGAACTGATCGGTTATTCACCAATCTGGCCGGAAAAGGTTAGATCTGGCCGCAAAAGGTCATAGCGAGGCGTTACAACACAGATCCGACTGGTCTATGTCGTAACGAAATTTTCTGGCTAAATTCCGACGATGGTGGCCAGAATCTGGCACTGCAGGTGGTGGGGGTATTTTTGTCGTTTTACATATTAGGGTGTTTAATTAAATTAACAAACCTTGGGGTTTTTTTATAAATTTTTAAATTTTACCTCATAATACTCCCCTATCCAAGTACCCAAAATTATTCCCAAAATAATGAACCAAACGCGCCCTATTTATTTTATTGAACAATTTCACCACGTTAGCTAACCACCTCTTATGTGGTTTTTTTGAAAAGTAACAATATGTATCTTTATTGTATTAGACGATCTCACCATATCAATCAAGTGAAGTGATCAAACTATCTGATATAAGTTTTTAGATAAAAATTCAGTCAAATTACTTTCACATATTGAAAGCTGACTTTTAATTAGTATTTCTGAGCGTAGTAATTATTTTGAATTGATCAACTTATAGATGGAAAAACTGCAAATAATAAGGTGGAAGTCGGAATTGACAACAAAAGCAAGTCAACTACTCTCAAAACCATACAAGGAACTCTGAAAAAATCGTTCAAGAGCTTGATCATCAACATGAAAATTACTCCAACGACTGAACAAGGCAGCTTGGTGCACTGGACCCTTGACTATGAGAAGCTGAACGCAAATGTTGAGGACCCTAAATCCATCCTTGATATGGCTATCGCTAGCTGCAAAGATGCTGGTGTTTACCTTAACAATAAGGCAAAGACACAAAGCTCTCGTCTGCTGCAAACTAACTGATATTATAAGAATCGATCTGCTATAGCAGATAAATATATGCATATGCGTGATTGGATCGGTGTACTCTTTATGGTGTCTTGTTTCTGCTACTAAATATGATGTATGTTCTGAATGTATTATCGAATCTCTTGCATGCTTCTACTACGTAAAAAATATGCATGTATTATGTATCTTTAAAATAATTAATCTGAACTAGCGACATGCCTTCCGATATATATTAAACAATTAACCAACTCAAGAACAACTGATCTATATGCATCCAAAATATATAATTAGGACTTAATGAGCTTACATTGAATTCAGTATCTTTTTCATGTCATGTTCTTTGCCGTAAGCCTTCTTTGTCTTAGTATTTACATACAGAGCAGGACAGCTACGTTTTCTATTCATGAAATCATCCAATTTGAAAATGTTGATATTTTTGTCAAACTTATGTTATGGTAGACAATGAATTGTTGAGCAAATATATGCACACACCATTCTTTTGTGCAAGCATCTATTGTCTGACACATTTTGTCAAGTGGCATTTTCTCTTTGATTGTCTTGCCCATCAAGTTTATTTTGATTCATGATATCCTTGTGTGAGCTTGTCGAACCGGTCGTCACAGCCACAAAAATTAACCTAAATACCATAGTTAGCGGTAAGCAGGGTCGAATCCACAGAGAGCAAGACTAACGACCTAATGAATATTTGAGCTAACGAAAGGGAAATTGGCAAATTGATTGATTAAACTAAACAAACTAAATGCAAATAACAAAAGCTTGAAATTAAAACTAATGAAGACTTTATAATAAAAACGTTGCCACTACGGTTTTGGTTCGACATGAGACCAACTCACACAATTCTCCTCCACCCTATACGATCCCTAAACCTACAAAGCAAGGTAAATCAATGAAATGGCTTTCCGGCACTGTAGGTATAATCTATCCTGTCTCATCCGATCACTCAAGTTCGATTGGTTAAAGACTATCATTGAATGCTGACAAATACTACAAGACAATACCACTAGTTGGTACGCGATTAACAAATACAATTTGTCAACACGTATCATCCAATAAACCAACTTCACAATAAACGCAACAACAGTAGAAATGACATTAAATCCGAACACAACTCAATTACTATCGATGCGAAGTAATGAAAAACAATATTCATAATTTAATTATCTCAAACCAACAATTATCATTCAGTAAGTTCTATGAAAGCATTTAATCACAATGGACACTATATTCATCACAAATTATGCTCAAACTACATTAAAGTATCAAAATCAAACACGAAATGAAAACAAAAATAGTTCGAAACACAATACTACCAAATGTCCTACAATCAGGCTCATCCAACTAGTCGAGAGCTGATGAGGAGAGCAGTGGAGTCAATCTCGATCTCGCCTACACCGTAATAGAGAACCGCGAGCTCAACCGCTCATGGTGGTGTCAACGGAGGCTGGAGCAGTGGAAATGAAGCTGGTCATGGCAAAGAGGAAGCAACCGATAGCCAGATGATGTGAAGAATGAGCGAAAAAGATAAACGGACAGCCCGAAATATGAACAGTCGTAACTCGCCTGAATACGTTAGTTTTCCAGTGGGTCTTCCGGCAAATGGTGGCGGAAATGGGATCCGAAGGTACCAATGGAAACCTCAGGTGATAAGGAGTTCGAATCAGGTCCTGGGAGATGAAAGGTCATCAGAAAGTGAGCGAAATCGCAGCTGGAAGGTGAAGAGACGCTGCGGCAGCGGCGGCGATGATGGATTGTGGCGTTTTTTTGCGGCAGCTGAAGCTTGGAATGAATAGATCTGAGTGTGGCGAAGGTAGAGCAGCCACCAGAGAAGTACGAGGCCACCAAAAAATGGCAAAAAAGTCACCGGAGGCTGAAACACTGCCGGTGAGGGGAGATGAAGCGTCGTGCAGCAGCAAGGGGTGATGGATAGTGGAAATCGGTGTAAGGGAAAGTTGGAGAGTCGTCGGAGATGCTTTTTGGAGCTTGATCGGAGAAGGTGAAGGGTTTTGGTGGGCGGAAACCACCAATCTGCGACCTTGCGCTGCATTTTTATACAAAATGTGATAAATTTTCATTTGGTCCCTGCATGATTAAAAAGTGACAAAATCAACCCCTTGAAAACATGACATTTTGACCCCTGAATAGCATAAATGAGACAAAATCACCCCTAATCCATAAACCACAACCTAATATCAACTCACACCATTTCCAAATTCATTCCAAATATGCTAAATTCATAAGAAAATATTAGGATACGATTTTTTGTGAATAAATTCATAAATTCTTTAATTGTCTCAATATGATTTCATTTTAATCACACATAGGGTCTTTTTATCACCAAAATAAAGTCACTGTCATGACTCTAACACACTCCCCAAATTACTCTTTCCTCATCCTCGAGTAAAGTCAAAGGAACTCTTTCAACATTCTCACCAAACCATACACAACCCTATTCATCAACACCCAAGGGATTCATCAAAAGGTAAAGTGAAGAATTTGAACACAACAAGTAAACAATACAATCCTAAATAAAGAACTAAAGTTTCTGTCAAGATTTGCCTATCTCCATTCAAGCTTCTCAAACACACATTTCATATTCATATCACAATGTTAAAATGTCATGCAAAACTCCCCAACTTGTGTACATGCAACATAATGCTCATTTTCCACACAAGATTTTGACATATAATTTCTTTTTCATTCATCACTTATTATTTTTTTTTTTCTTTTTCTTGTCTTAACTTAAGCTTTCTAGAAGGTTCGTATAACGGGCTTTTGGTCAATGACTACTAAACCAGACGGCTATAAGGCACTAAATGTAAAACACTCTTCGGACTTACTCACCTGAACCAACTAAGCTACAAGTCAAGACTTATATTTATTTTTTTATAAAGCTCATGATCTATATAATGACTTATTAAGCTTTCTAGAGGACCCGTGTAACGAGCTTTAGGCCAACCACTCCCAAGCTAGATAGCTTTAGGGGATTAGGTGTAGAATACCCCTCGGGCGTACTCACTCGAGTCAACTAGGCTACAAATCAAAACCAAATCATCAAGCAACATTTAAGCACTTTTAACACACACAAGATAATAAATGAAAATTTTCTCCGTGGGCATGTAAAGTATGTGGGAGACTTGCATAAACACTAAAACACATGACATTTACACAAAACGATGTCTAACCACAATTATGGACAAACCTAGCACATAACAGAACCAATAGTTCAATGTTTAAAACCATGTTGCAACAAACCATTTTCAAAAACCTCACAAAACCTTTCAACTATCACCTCAATTGCTCCTAAAATGGTGATTATGCATGAATTCATGGAAATTTTTAAAAATGGCTCACTTAAGTTCACTTTTTCCACTTTCGGACTTACAAGAGTAAGATTCAACATATTTTCAACAAAAACATAATCATGCCACAAAAATTTAAGCACAATCCATTCAACACATAATCTCCACAAAGCATCATCAACATCATCTCCACAAAAATATCATCAACAACACTCCACAAATACAAAATCAATCAACACACTCCCCAACTTAAAATGTCATTGTCCTCAGTGACTCAGAACTATAAACATTCTCCCCAATTTAGCATCAAATGATCTCAAATGGAATAAAATCAATAACCATTAAAATAATGCAACACATGAGAACATGTTAAATAATATCAACATAAAAGTTGGAAAGATACAACCTGAGGGACAATGATGGAGTTGTCACCAGTGGGGTTTGTGGAGTATGCTTAAGTGTAGCCTTCGACTAGTTAATGAGTTCTCAACCACAGCACACATGGCAAATCCCACAACGACAAAAACAACAAAGAAAATAAAGTAATAAAGAAGCATTTAAAAGGGTGGGTTGCCTCCCACCAGGCTAAGTTTTAAGTCTTCAGCTAGACTGAATGCAAAAATCAAGTTTAAGGTGGTTGAAGCGTTGGCGGTGCCTTACATGACCCTCGCATTCAGCAACAAGTAGGGTATTACGAGATCCCAAGAAGGCATATTTGAATTTAATACGCCATTTCCATGTGCACAAGTCTTTTAAGAACTTAACATAGATAGGTATGTGCTTAATGACATCTAGAAGTGGAATACCAATCAGCCCTTGTCTAAACAGTTCAACCATTTCCTCCATCCTAGTGGTTTTCTTAAAGTTGGGTGCATTATTTGACTCTAGGTATTGAGGAAAAGGTTCTATCGACATGTCAAATGTAGGGGATGGTTCTTTCTTCCTATCTTCCTCATTTCATGTCTCGGCACACCTAACTCTATGGTTGGTTCTCTTTCACTCCTCTCGGCTTGGTTTCCCCCTAAGCTCTCTTTCTGTCCTAACTCAGCATATAATTCCCTCTTAGGCCTAGCTTGTTCATGACACCCCATTTGGTGAGGTGCACCATTGGGATTACCTACAACTTGACTTGACAAATGACCTTCCTTTCTCCTATTAACTACTTCAGCTATTTGACCAATTTGGGTCTCTAGCTTACTAATAGATTGGGAATGGGAGTGTATTATCTGATAATGCTGCTCTAAGTCATTGAACCTAGCATTCATGTCATCTTTTTGTTCTTGCATGGTCTGGAGCATCTGAGCCATCATTGATTCCAGTGAACGGGACACTAGAGTGGGCTGCTGGATGGGGGGTGGGATCCTAGGTTGGGCGGGTGGTTGGACCGAATACATGTCCCAATAATTGCCCTACTGATTGGAAGAAATATATGGCATATTATGGGAGACAGTCTGAGATTGTTCCTACTTCCATGCAAGATCATGATGGTTATGCCACTCACCATCAAATGTGTTCGAGTACGGATCATTTTGTCTCTAGAAACCTTGTGCAGCTTGCACTTGCTTCTCAAAAGTGTTGGGAGTTGGTTCATCAAATGCGTACTCAATAGCTAAAGGGTCTGAAGGCATAGTATAAACATCCTGACTGTCCAAACAAACGATGGTTGCCTAGAAGCTTGCCCTTGCATGGATATGA